CCCTGTATATGCATATCACAGGCAACCAAATAAACTAGTAACCTCTAAAAATTATTTTTCCTACCATTAGCGACATACCGTGTTTTTAGTGTGTACTAAATTATTTTATCAAAATTTCACCATATAAGTTTCCAGGCAATGGTGGATATAGTTTTACGTCGCGTGACGTTTAAAGGCTTAGGCTACTGGTTAAAAAAACAAAAAGATATAACCTTTAAAATTAAATCTTAAATAACTTAAAAACCATTTATTTTAGGTATAGGAAAATGTATAATCAAAAAGTAACGAATTAAAAAACCTTTTCACTAATGAAATAAAAAAGTGGGTTTCCATTTAAAAAAAATGATTTATGATAATTTTTTAATCGCTCAATTCTATGACAGCTGTGGCCATGATTATATGACATTCGAACAATTTAATTTTTGAAATAGATAGCCACATGTTTTCTCTTTATGGCACAGTGGCCGTGGTAATCACTAAATTTGACGTTCAGGCTATACATATATTTTTGACAGGCAGTTTTTTTCGTTCAAAAATTTTAAATATTTTTTTCTCAAAAACGGTCAATGTTAGATATAGAGTGTTTAATATCAAAATTCATAAAAGTTTACATAGAATTTAAGAATGTAATAAAAAATGGGGGCACCCATTTAAAATAAGAAAGTTGTTGTCAACTTCCGGTATTTCCGGAAGTGCTGCCATATTGAAAATATTTTTGATCGTTGTGAAACTATGATGTGCAAGAAATCTCGGAGCTAGATTTTGTAGTTTTCTAGAAACTTCTAATGCACGCTCAGCCTTGGACACCCTGTATACGTACCTGGTGGTTCTGACGACACTTTTTTAGTATTAAAATATTTAGCTCTCCCAATAACTTTTACCCCCAAAATTTCATTCTAATCACTTCACAAAAGCACTTGGAAGAAAATAATAATAAATCGAAAAAAATGACTCTAACCGCCTGTAGCTACGAAACAAAGCAGAGTCGGACCTATGTTGATATGAAAAATAAAGCTTATTTTTACGTAAGGAATCTCTCCACGAGAGATGGCACGACGTGTTTTTTGAAACACCCTGTATAACGAAAAAAAAATAAGTTTTAATTTTCTTATGCTTTATGTTATAGACGGAGAGCTGGCTACATTAAAAACCTTCATCGTTAGATACATGGCTAATTTTTCTTGTGAAGTATCCTTTTGTGTTGCCATTATGAAATAGTCATGTCTGCCAGCGCGATCCCGGGGCTTAAAGCGGGGGCGGCCAATCGAAAGGGTGAAATTTTGACACTAAAAATATTATAAGGTACACGAGTTATAATTGCGAAACAGATATCATACATTTACTATTCTGTCTCACTATTTGTATCTGACTCATCGTACCGCAGATCCTCCCTCTCGCAAAGAGTCTTCCTCTGAGTCGATATCTGCACCGTAAATTTTTTGTAGGCTTACGTACATGTATTATATGTTTCAATTGATTCCCTGAAAACGCTCGGTGATACATTCGGTGATATATTTCGACCCCAGGAACACGTCTACAAGGTTTTTTTTGTAAAAACAGTGTTGAAAATTGTGCATTTTTTAAAATTTTTCTGTATGTATATTTCAGAAAACTTTTTAAAACTGCCTGTTTACACTGCCAGATTTGCCTACGGTATAATTCCTTAATCTACCATGCTTACGGCTTTATTCTATGATTACGACACTAAAAGAATGGATGCAAATACAGGTGACTCACAAAATTTAAAAATAAATCTTTCTAAAAATGCCTTTTTAAATTTTCAAACTTGAATAACTCGGTTATTTCGGACTTATTTGAAAAACGGTAAAGAGAAAATATGTTTCTTTTATCGATGAAAATAGTTGCACTTATTCAAGACTCACCCTGCAGAGTAAAATCGCGCTTTTAATAACTGTCAACCGCTGATTGAGCCACGATCTTTTTGTCCGCCCTTTTGTATACGGCTTTTAAAATATTCCATAATTCCATAATTTTTTTTTCAAAATTTAATGCCTCTTTCGCGTTGTCTGCCGGCATTTTATCGACGAGAAAAATGTCTACCAACAATTTTCGACGTTTCTTAATAATAATTACAAGCTATCTTTGCAATTCTAACTAGTGTACTTTATAATATTTTTAGTGTAAAAATTTCACCCTTTCGATTGGCCTCTCCCGCTTTAAGCCCCGGGATCGCGCTGGCAAACATGACTATTTCATAATGGCTACATATAAGGATACTTCACAAGAAAAACTAGCCATTTAACGATGATAAGGTTTTTTATGTAGTCAGCTCTTAGACTATTATGTTTAGTAATTAAAACTAATTTACAAATATAAATAATAGCAATACGACAAAAGACGATTTAATCTTCAGAACAAAGTATGTAAGAGTACTGAATAATAACAGAGAAGAAACTTCCTTTATATATGTGTATTAAGTAGTCGCTACGGCTTTGGGGTAAGAACTTGTAATTTTTTGTAATTTAAACAATTAAAATGGTTTTATTCTTGTATTATTGTATTTGAACCGGAATGTTAGGCAACCAATTATATACTTCATTGATTATTCCGTTGCCTTAATATCTCACCGCTCAGTTCCGACGTAAAATAAGTATATATACAATACGTTCGAGAGAATGGTTGGGAAGGTCTGAAGCCTATGAGTTGAACTTATACTTGAGCTATTATTAATTCATGTATCTGAACATTTACTGAAAGATAAACCCACGTACCACTCAAAGGTGACTTTGGCCTTTCTTTTTTGTAAAATCTTTGTTTTAAAATTGCAAATGACAATCCTTTTCAAAATTTTTTAATAGAATAATTGTGGGGTAACTTATCCTTGAATTAAAATTTAAAAATTTCATTTTCAATATTAAAATATAGGATAATAGGATTGTTAGATTTAATCTGACACAGTATTCTTGAATAAGCCATAAATATATACAAGCATTTATACTTTGATATTTCGACAATTTTTTATACCTCTAAAACTAACAGTTAATAGCCTTATTGGAGAGATCACCAACTGATGAAGAGTTATAATAACTATACAGGACAGTCCGGATTTTATAAGTATTCGGGGAACTTCGGCAGCATATTCTGCAGATAAAAATAAGTAAAAAAGTTCTTATAAATGTATATGTTCTAAAATTCTTCGTTTCGGAGATACATACAGACTTTAGAAGTTTCATTTTTTTTCGATTTTTTCTAAATAATCTCTGAACTGCCGCTGACGTCGATATTTGGATAAAAATTGATGTCTGGTTGTTACTTGATATGAGAAATTCGAGTTTTTTGATCCCGGTATGACTCGCGCACTTGTAGGGGGCGCCACCTACATTTTTTTAACTGTTTTGAAGAGTAATAATTTTTTGTCCGTACCTGTATTACACTACTAAGTGAGACAATAGACATTTCCGCCGTTTTTTTACGTAAAGACGGTTTCTTGGTAAAAAGCGCTACAACCCTGTCAAAAATTAAACCTGTTGACTAGATACTTATTAGACAGAAATAATTAAATTTGGAAATGTTTTATGGCCCAAGTTCAAAATTTATCATAGAAAAATTTATGATTAATTTAAAAAAATAAATTTCCCAAAATTTATTTTTTTAGATTAGAAGTTAATATAAAAGTTCTCAAATTTATCATAAATACCGTATGATCGAAAAAAACGGCGTCCAATTGGCTTAGAAATGAGGGTCGATGACAGTCCCCATATAATTTTATATATAAAATTACAGCGATATTCATTTCATAGCCATCGCTGACGCCGTTTTTTTTTCGATCATATTGTATACAGTGTGTTTCAAAAAACATGTGCCATCTCTCGTGGGAAGATTCCTCAGGTAAAAATAAGATTTATTTTTCATATCAGCATAGGTCCGATTTTGCTTTGTTTCGTAGCTACAGGGTGTTAAAGTCTTAATAATCTTTCGATTTATTATAATTTTCTTCCAAGTACTTTTGGCTATTCGAATGAAATTTTGAGGGTAAAAGTTACTTATAAGTGCTACACATTTTAATGCTAAAAAAGTGTTGATAAATTCATCAGGGACGTGCATATGGGCTATCACTGGAATATTTTTCTAAAAAAAGCATGTGTGCTACTCACTTCTTTCTTTTGGTATCAAAACTGTGTAAGCCGTTTAATGCCAATTAAAAGTTATCTCTTGATATTTTGTCGAATTCGGCCTCCTTGATGTGATAAACGCAATTTTATTAATCACAATAAAATTTACCTAATTTAATATTAAATATTATTAATATTAGTTATTATTACGATTAGTCTAACCTACAGCAATTTAAAATAAAAAATAATGGTATTTAAGGTAATTACAAAAACCTAACTTTAAAAAGTTTTAAGATCCTGTAACTCTAAAACTATGCATTTCCATACCCATCTTTATAGGAACTTTTGTTCATATTTTTTTATGAGGAATCAATGAGTATTTATTTAAAACTTTATCATGTTAATGATATTAAATTTTTTTAGAGGTTACTATTAGACTTGGATCAACGCAAATTAATATAATTGTGTTTATTTCATCAAGGAGGCCGAAATCGACAAAATATCAAAAGACAACATTTAATCGGCCATTAAACAGTTTAAAATATTTCTCTAACAAGATAAAAAAAAAGCCAGTGGCGTACGTGCTTTTTTTAGAAAAATATTCCAGTGATAACCCATATGCACGTCCCTGGTGAATATGTCGACACTTTTTTAACTTTAAAATATGTCGCATTTATAGTAACTTTTACCCTCAAAATTTAATTCGAAACGCTAAAAGTACTTGGAAGGAAATAATAATAAATCGAAAAAATATTAAGATTTTAACACCCTGTAACTACGAAACAAAGCAGAATCGGACCTATGTTGATATGAAAAATAAATCTTATTTTTACGTAAGGAATCTCCCGAGAGATGGCACATGTTTTTTGAAACACCCTGAATAGTCAACATGTTTATTTTTTGTCATTGATGACTTATATTGATAATTTCTATTTGTTTCCATTCCAAATATCTTGAGAACGGTTGCTCGCACCTTTTTAATAGGCCTGAAACGGGGAAACTGAAAAAGTTAATACTCTCCAAATGCCGTTTAATAACATGGTTTTACATGAGACTTAACTCATTTCTTATATTTTATATTTTTGACGGGATATTTCTTTTCTGAAAGACATGCTGTAATCGCATATTGCGAATTTGCTTTAATTGAAAGATTTTTTCAGAACATTCAGTGCCATGGAAACATCGTCAGATAATACTGATTATATTTCCCGAAGTTCTACCACAGATCAAAGAACAAGCGAAAGAAACATCATGTCTCCATCGAGTTCCAGTTACCTCAGCTGGATAGAAAGTGTGAACAGTGAATACTTCGGTAGTGCTGTTTCTAGCGTCCCTGGTGGTAAGTAACCTTCTTCTTCTTTACGTGCCGTCTCTTTCGTGGAGGTTGGCGATCACATTGGCAAAATCTTCACGATTCTCGGCTTTCCTTATAAGTTCTTCAAAAGTTAGGTGAGTCCAGTTTCTGATGTTTCTCAACCAAGATAGTTTCTTCCTGCCGAGACCTCTCTTTCCTTCAATCTTACCCTTAACTATCAATTGTAAGACGTGGTATTTTTCATTTCTCAATATATGCCCTAAGTATGATGTTTTTCTTATTTTTATTATATTGAGCAATTCTCTCTCTCTGCCTATTCTGTTGTAGACTTCGGTATTTGTGATATGGGCTGTCCCCAGTAAGTAACCTAAGCCTGTAAAATTGTAATTATGTTATAGGAGACACTTGAAAATTCAAATGAAGATAGTCCTAAAAAATCCGACCTCGCACAATGACAGAAAGCATTTTTTTTGAAAATGTATTTATATCTCTTTGCAAAACCGCAAACTTTTTCCCAACGATGCTCCCATACGTCATCAACTATCCAAATACTTTTATTTTAACAGCCCAAGACTTGGACAACAAAGTAGGCGAGTGGAACAATTTCTGGTTGAATTACAGTAACGCCAGGCTGCATCATCTCTCTACTGATCAAACATTCAGTTCCGATGGCGCTGACAAGACTGCCGAAGAAAATTCGGAAGACAGAAAGAGTCAAGGGAGTACCCAAAGAGACATCACAGAGAAGAATTCAGTCGAATGCGTCATGCTAACGGTCGACGAGGTAAGTCATGTCACCTGCCATTCACCCGATGTTTCACCCAACCGATCATCAACCTTCCAACTGAATTGCACCGTATATAGCCGGTTTTAACGTACTTTCAAAATTTCCCGTACATTAAGCTAGGTTACGGGTACACGGGTAGTGAAGCACGCTCGTGTCCCACACTTTCGTGTACTATATGCCTCATGTCAACGGTAGATTCGTGAAAGAAGAACCAAAACGAATCAATACGAAAGATGCCACAATAGTAGATAAACTAGGAGAGTACGAGCTCACTAAAAACAAGATGGCGGCCGTTTATCAGATGGCGTCTGTTTACGTCGCTTGTCAAGCTTGTTGTCATAGTCGTGAGTGGAGCGTGGTAGAGTACTGATTCGGTTCCAAGCAGTTCAAGAGCGGTTCAAAGCAGTTTAAAAGCGGTTCAAAACCCACCCCCACCACAACAAGCATGACTGGCAAATGACAGGCCACATCAACCGCCACCATCTTATGAACGGCCGCCATCTTGTTTTTGGTGAGCTCGTACTCTTCTAGTTTGTCTACTGACATGATTGCCACAATTAATTATTTTCACTCGTCTTTAATGTCGTAATATTTGGCTCATTAGTGTACAACCTTCCACTAAATGAACTACACAGTATACATATAGAAGACTGGAACGTTTGCCGTGTAAACAGCATACGATCGCTGGACGATTTTCGTTTTTTTTTGAATGGCCTTTTGATACTTTTGTATCTCACGAAAATATTGTAAGACTTAAGCGTACCTACTTCACTACCCGTGTCAACCTAGCGTTTAGCACAATGCTAATAAAACACTAAGGGTGCATCCACACTATCCTAAAAACGGCGTATCGACGTAACGACGTAACGACCTTGAATTGCAGTAATTCTATTGGCTGAAACTTTTGACAGATAAAATTTCTGACAGATGAATTTTTCAGCCAACAGAATTACTGGAAATCTATTCAAGGTCGTTACGCCGTTACGCCGAAACGTCGTGTTTAGGATAGTGTGGATGCACCCTAATACTTTCGACTAAATTTGTTGGCCTTCGTTCGTCGGATCTGTTCAGGAATCGGAGCTGTTTTTCGGGACCGGAAATTTCGGTACCGCGCCTGTTAGGAATCGGGATCTGCCGTTTTTTCGGTACTTTAGGTACTAACTAATTTTTGTTCAATATAATGGGTGCAGTTCATCAATTAAAAAGCAAGGGATGGTTTTCAAAGTAAAATCGATAAAAAGTTGAGATTTTTAATGAAAATATCAATTCAGTCGTGAGAAAATTAACATGAACATGAAGACAAGCAAAGAAAAAAAATATTGGTAACTTAATATTCACATCAAACAACATAAACCAGTTGTAATTTGAGAAAAAAACTACATTTTTAAATTAAAAATGCAAATATTTATATATTCAAACATCAGATATTTAAAATTCAGAAGGGAAAAGAAGCAAGAGAAAAGAACAATAAGAAATAGCATCATTCCTTATTTAGAAGAGTTTGATTTCGGCCGGTAAAACGTATCAAAAGACTTTCTCACGTAACAAAATTCTTAATTATTGTTACCGAGTTCTTAATGAACCGAGAATTAATTTCGAGGCCCGGTTCTGTGATGGCCAAAAAGATCCGGAAATTCCCTGTACTTTCAAAACCGGGGTTTTCCCGGTTCCGAACTCCGATTAGAGTGATTGGGAGTATTAATTAGGGTTTCCGGAACAATGCTTCTAAGGAACCAGGATTACCCCGTTTTGGTCGGTACTAGCAAAATTTTATTCAATGATTGTTCAGTTTGTCAATCAGCAAGCAAGGGATGGTTTTCAGAAGTAAAACCGATAGAAAACTGAGTTTTAAATAAAAATAATTTCAAATTATTGCGTAATCAGTCATGAGAAAATTATCATAAACACAAATGAACATAAGCGAAGAAAAAACCGAAAGTAACGTAAAATTTGCATCAAACAACATAAAAAATGCAAATGCGTATTAAAAACCATAACATAAATATAACTAATACTGTGCTAATACTTTTAGCAACGTTATACTAAATAATAAAATAATATATTTAAACTTCAATAATTTTTGTTAATTATACCTGCACATTAGGAACTTCAAAAGAACTTCAGAAATAATATATTTATATTTATATTAGACCTAAAATAGCCGAATAGACGAAAAACATTTATAAGGTTTTGATATGTTGGGATTAGACGCACCAAAAGGAGATTTTTCAGAATCAAAAGAGTTCTTAACTTTAAAGTGTGAGCTTCACCCCAAAAAACCACCCCCAATACGCTCTTCGATAGTTTCTCGTTTTTTTCTCAGAACCCGTTGGTCCCACAAAAAATTTTATACTTACCGAAAATATTCCCTATAAAATTTTCTACAAAAAAGGTTCTAATCATTATTTATATTTATTCAATGCATTTCGAGAAATAACCGTTAGAAAAATTGAGTACAAAAAAAATAGAGGTCGCTTTTCAAATTATAGTCTCCCAAGGTATCTTAACGTGCTAAATATACACGCAACAGATATAAACAAAAACATTGCCTATTCCACTAAACTAACATTCATACTTTCATCTACATATTGTCATCCTCTATAGTTTCTAGAATGTGCTCAGTATTCGAACAACTTTGGCCACGACAGGTTCCGCACATAGTTGTACATTTCATGCCGGCTTTAATGCAACTGCATCTTTTTACACAATCTTGTTTGCAGTTGCACGTTATTAATGACATAATTGAAGCAGGGACGGGCGCTTCTGTTGTATATAAAGGTGACAGGGTGTTGTTGATTTTTTTCCAGCCCCACTGGTCGGGTTTTATAGGTTGTTCTTGCAATAATCCAGTATTATACGTAATTTAAAGAAATCAATTTTATTTATTCACGCGGATTTTTTGGAAAAGGAAAACAACAACACGTACAAATATTTAATAAAGAAAAAGACCTTGATAGTATCGTCGATATTTTTAACAACGCAAAGTCAACACCTGAAGAAATTGAAAAAGCTGGAGAGAGGTTTGTACTGAAACTATACAAACTTCAATCATCTGTAGGGAGCCTTGCTTGGGAACGTGCAACTGTAAACAAGATTGTGTAAAAAGATGCAGTTGCATTAAAGCCGGCATGAAATGTACAACTATGTGCGGAACCTGTCGTGGGCAAAGTTGTTCGAATACTGAGCAAATTCTAGAAACTATAGACGATGACAATATGTAGATGAAAGTATGAATTTTAGTTTAGTGGAATAGGCAATGTTTTTGTTTATATTATACAGTATTATATCTGTTGCGTGTATATTTAGCACGTTAAAATACCTTGGGAGACTATAACTTGAAAGGCGACCTGTATTTTTGTACTTTTGTACCTGTATGGTTATTGCTCGAAATGCATTGGATAAATATAAATAATGAATAGAGCCTTTTTTGTAGCAAATTTTATAAGGAATATTTTTAATAAGTATAAAATTTTTTGTGGGTCCGACGGTTTCTGAGAAAAAAGCGAGAGAGACAGAAAATTGTAGAGAGAAACAAGCCCTATAACATAGGATACAACATTTTAACGAACAGTGCTTTCCATAAAATCAATAAAATGAAAAATATACGAAATAATATTTATACATGTACTGATTTCTTTCGAAAATCGACAACTATGAAACTATGATCCCTTCCCCGACACAAACGATACATTGTGAGACAGGAAATTGTAGAGAGAAACAAGCCCTATAGCATAGGATACAACATTTTAATGAACAGTGCTTTCCATAAAATGAAAAATATACGAAATAATATGTACTAATATCTTTCGAAAATCGACAACTATGAAACTATAATCCCTTCCCCGACACAAACGGTACATTGTGAGACAGGAAATTGTAGAGAGAAACAAGCCCTATAACAAAGGATACACTATTTTAATGAACAGTGCTTTCCATAAAATGTATAAAATGAAAAATATCGAGCTCGAAACAACAATGTAGCAATGAGCTTTAGTATTTAAAAAAAACGTCGTTTAGAAGTATATGTATTTTAATATTTTATAAAGGAAATTTCCTTGTGTTTCCAATGTCATATGATGTTGGCTTTTAAGGCCTTATTGTGCAGAGGATGTTGTTTTGCTATTTGACTCATTCAAACTATCTTGATGATGGGAATAAAATTCTCGAAAAATACTAAACAACGTTTTGATTTATTTTTACTAACGAATGGCGAAGACAAAGCTTTTTGAGGATTTTTGGTAAAAAACAGAATTACTTTCGATTTTTGGTAAAAAACAGAATTACTTCGAAAAAGGTCGGGTTTCACTGATAGTATTTTTGCAGTTCGAAAAAGCATGCTTCAAATTATTTAGTATTGCACAAAACACAAGCATCCTCACTTAAATTTTGAGTTTTTTCTTAACTTTACTAAACAACTAAACCTGCTATTTTTACTCATATCTTAGGATTAAAATAAAGGATGTCAAGTGCTCTGAAAGGAAGCCCTTTTTGAGCCATCCTCTAGAAGTTAAAATATGTTCTTGAATATATTTACATTTAGGTTTGCACTTAAGGACGTATTGGGGGTGGTTTTTTGGGGTGAAGCTTACACTTTAAAGTTAAGAACTCTTGTGATTTTGAAAAGTCTCCTTTTGGTGTGTCTAATCCCAACATATCAAAACTTTATAATATGCTAATATCAACGTACTAAAGGAAGAATAATTGAGTTTGCTTTCGACCGCTAGAAAGGATCAATGGACTTTCGCATGTACAAAAAGTTTTTTTTTAATTTTTGTTACCGAGTCTCGAAAGTACCGAAAGAACCGGAAATTAATAATTTCGAGTCCCGGTTCTTTGATGTCTCAAAAGAACCAAATCCCGATTCTGAACCCTATAGTACGCACCTCTACATAACATTTCCCAAATTAATATATTTTGTTTTCTATTTTACAGTTTAACGAAGCAATGAAGTGTTCCCAAAGAGTAATGGATATACTAAATTGCGCAATGAAAAGAAACGAAATGGATGACAGTTCAAACGAGTCGTACTACTCTCAACCTCTACCTATTAAGGTATGTGTAGAGTGCTTTTATTTTGACTTTAAAATCGGTTTGTAATACAATACTACCATTACCCCATTTACTATTCAATGCATAAGTACCTACATTAAATCTGTATTTTTCGTACAAAATCAAATAAACACTGTATGTTTTTATTTTCAGAATAACCCTATAGAAAGTGCATCCGGTTCTTCTGTGTTAAATAGAGAGCGTTCCGTATCCTGCGTGGTGGATTCTCAATCTCTACAAAAACCGAAGCAAATGTCGAAAAACACCCAGCAGTCGTCTAGCACCAGTTGCTTGAACGCCATTTTGAGCACTAGCGTCGCCGATATTTTAAAAAAAGTTATAACTAAAAAGCGGGACATCATCGTATCCGATGTCGACGGCAGGACAGCAACAAGAAACAGTTTTTCCGAATGGAGTGGAAGATAGTTATCATGTTGTGTTTGTTGGGAATATATTTGATTAAGATATCCCTAAAATTTTAGAAACATTTAAATTATAAAATAAAGAACTAGTTAAGAACCGAATCGAATCATCTACAAATGAGTGTACCATTTTGGTTCCAAATAAGTTGCAAACATTGCTCTTATAAGTAAAGTTTATAATAATTACTACCTACTTTATCTATGATTAGCACACAGTCAGTCGATATGCGATTATTTAATAGAACTTTATGTACCTACTAGCGTGTACCAGCGACTTCGTTCGCGTCGAATTAATCATTTGTAATGGCGATGATAAAGCAAAGCAAGAATTTCCAGTAACATACCAACTGGATAAATTTTTCTCACATTTATGTCAGCATGAGAAAAACAATATGGCGATATTATTATATAACTTATTTTTATTTATGTAATAAAACCAAATAAATTATGTTTGTCCAAGCGTTTTCCCGAAAGACTAACCGTTTTTAAATTACAAATATTGTCATATTTGAGGGCGTTTTCACCCTCTTGGAATTTGATATTCGAGAAACCCCTCCTTATGGAACCTCTACATCCCACAGTCAATCCGTTTGCCAAAAATCAGCTTTAAACGTCAAGCAGTTTAAGCAGAATCGTGATTACCTACTCAGTGGTCATATTTTATGAAACACCCTATATAAATTTATAAAAAATCTTAAAATATGTAAAACAACAAAATAAAATATATGTGTTTAAGAGTTTTTCCGAAAAACTCACCGGTTTTGGTTTGATACCGATGATAATATTTGAGGGATAGTTTCACCCCTTAGAATTCGAGTTTCGAAAAATCTCTTCTTATCGAACCTCTACAGCCTAAAGTCAATCTGTTTTTCAAAAATCAGCTTTTTACGTCAAGCGCTTTAAGCAGGATCGTGATTAATCAATGACCAGATTTTTCGAAACACCCTGTATACATTTTTAAAAAATCTTAAAATATGTAAAAAAACAAAATAAAATATACGTGTTTAAGCGTTTTTTCGGAAACTTGGCCGTTTTTAAATAAAATATCTTGGAACTGGAATTTCGAAAAATCCCTTCTTATCGAACCTCTACACCCTAGAATCAACCTGTATGCCAAAATTGAGCTTCGTACGTTGAGTGGTTTGAGCAGGATCGTGATTAATCAGTATGTCAGTCACTTACGGATTTTATATATTAGTATAGATTTATAGATATCTTTTTGTTGCTTTAGTTTCTTTGACCTAGTATACTATATAATTTTTTCTTTTTATTCTTATTTTATTATTTTAGGTCGTTGGGGTCGTAAAGATGTTACTGGATTTTGTTTATTATTTTATTTTCATCCACGACGTTTCGACAGTCATATGTATTTTACGAGTCTTTTTAAGTACATAAAAGAACAGTCAGTTAATAAAATCAAAGTATAAAACGTCAAAATAAAAGGTCTTACCTTAAACGTACATTTCTATAGAATTAAAATTGCGAAAAACTGGACAATACACACAAATTTAAAAACTATTATATATGTTATTTGTTTAGGGGCATCACACTTTAGTATACAGCACGTATTTTCTAGCAGACCGTTTTGTATATAAACATTCATCGTTTCAATAGCCGATGTCTACTGTGCGTTAGAAGTATTTTGATCAGATTTTTTAGGTCCTTTTTATCATTTACGGCGTTTTTGTTTTTTTGCATCTCCACCATTTCATAAAATTCTCTCTTTTTTTGGTGATTTTCTGTTTATACAATTTTAGTTTTATTAAAATCGAATGTATGGTTTTCTGTTGACACATGATTTGTGAGAGCGGTTACATTTTTTTTGTCATACTTGTGCCCTTTCAGTCTATTTTCTAACCATTGAGAAGTTTGTCCTATGTAAACTTGGGCTCAGTTCGAACATGGAATTTCATATATAACATTGCTTTGTTTGTTTAAAGGTATAGATTTTAGTTTAGAGAAATTATTAGCTAACAAGTTATGCGTGCTTTGTGACAAATCGTTATATTATACTTTTTGTGTAACCCTTGTAATTGCTGAGACAACCCATTTACAAAGGGGAGGACAATATAACCTGTATCTTTTTATTCTTTTTATTATTCTTTTTATAGGATTTTGATTGTTCTGTGTGTTTAAGAATTTTTGGAGTCTATTTTTAAATATTTTGTTTATTAGTTTCTTTCTTTCAATGCTTGCAATGTTTTTTAGTTTTTGTATTACAGCATCTCTATATTCTGGGTCGGATAGACGAATTGATCTGTCCGACAAGCCAATTCATTCAATTCGTCTATTCGACCCAGAATATAGAGATGCTGCAATACAAAAAGCAAAAGATGCATTGAAAGAAAATAACTATATCCAAAAAAACTAATAAACAAAATATTTAAAGATCTCCAAAATTTCTTAAACACACAAAACAATCAAAATCCAATAGGAAATAAAAAGATACACGTTATATTGCTCCCCCCTTCGTAAATGGGTTGTCTCGGCAATTACCGGCGGGGTTACACAAAAAGTATAATATAACGATTTGTCACAAATCACATAACTTGTTAGATAATAATTTCTAACAACTTATGAAAATGGTAAGATATAACAGACACTTTGACTGAGAGACAGAGATCGATTTTCTCACACTGAATCCAGTGGTGTAGTTATTTTTATCTTAATATTTAAAATTTTGAGAAATTAGCCAATGATTAGGACTTTTAGGTAATCCTACATATTTGTCAAAAATATTATTTGTCTTTTTATTAGACTTTCAAAAATATTCACAGTATAGATTTTATATTAATAAAGAGCGATAAAAACACCTTTTTCATATTATATATAAAGTACGTATATATTAAAATTACAAAATTATCGCATTGAATTATGCATTGAAACAAAAAATTGATACAAATGATTAAAATAAATGCTGTACCAAAAGAAATGTATTCCACAGGATGCAAATCTGTATGTGTCATCCTATCCTCTTAGTATGTGTACAATCGTGGATGCTATCATGCCCAAAGATTTTAGAAAATTGCATTATGAAAATTTTTGAAAAATAAAACATATTGTACGTTTATGTTATTGGGGGAATGCTTGTGTTGCATATTATATTTTATAATGTAATTTTATAATATAGTTATATATTTATTATAGTTGTGTGTGCACTGACAGTACATTAAGTATATGTATGTAAACTAAATTCTATATGTCCTACTTTACTATCCTAAAACTTTTTAAATTTTTAAATGTAGTTTTAATATATCCAATCTACTGAAAGTGATTTAAGTCGTTTTTTTTTTCTTATGTATTAATGTTTGTATTGAAACGTAATATGATTCTATTATCCCTAGTAAACAATATGATAATCTCTAAATATTAATGAATTTTAATTAATTTTAATATTAATTAATTTATTATAAAGCCATGTAATCATTAGCGTAACTAGCAAATCATCCTGGGGAGGGGCTGGAGTTCGCCCAGGGGGGTGTAGTGCTTTTGTTTTTCAAAAAAATGAAGAATAATTAAAAAAACACATTTTTTGAATAAAACGTTTACATGAATTTCTCTATCAATAAATTCATAGACTTGGTTATCAAACCGTGTTCCCGTAGATAGAAATTTAAAAAAAAACATTTTGATAATTTTTTATATATAAATATTAAATACCTACAAATTTTCTAAAAACACAACAAAATAATATTAACTAAACAAAACTAGAAAATGTAATTTTTACTACATCACAAGCAAATAAAAATTAATACGTAGCCAAGAGTCATAATTCAAGATTTCTTTGGGGGTGCCCAGCAGTAGCTGTGGGGGGGGGGGCACCCCCGGGCACCACTGTAGTTACGCCAGTGCGTGTAATGTATAACAAATATGTTAATTTTCTATATTATGGACATTCTAAACACTGGACTAGGATTAGCATCATCTGCGGATGATATCGCTCTGTATGAAACAAAATTGATTTCAATTTTATAACGCCTTTTTTCAGCAACGGAAAGGTACGGCAATGAATATTCCATTGTCTCCATTTTTGGCTAATTTACTCATGAGGAGGTTTGAAGTACCAGTTTGAGTATTTTCCATCAACAGTAGGTATGTGGATGATATGTTTGCCATTTTTTGATACACATTCTGACATCATAGACATTTATTTCTAAATTAAAGAATTGTTTTCCTTCCATTAAATTTACCTATGAAATAGATGAGAACAACGATAGATTACTACGATATAAACGAAAAAAAAACGACGTCAGCGATGGCTATAAAATGAAGATCGCTGTCATTTTATATGTAAAATTATATGGGGAATGTCATCAATGTTTGTCAATGTTCATTTCCAAACCAACTGGACGGCGTTTTTTTTTCGACCATACGGTATTTCTAGATGTACTAGTCATTAGAAATACTAATCATTGCTTGGTATTTAATTTCTATAGAAAAAAGATCACTACATAGTACATACCAGTAACGCATCTACAAAGTGAGTCTGGGAGGGGTATAGTGGCAATAAGTACAGTACTAGAGTAATACTAGATTTAAATTAAATTTGCGCTGAAAGGTATTGTGACTGTGGAAAAATAAACTTGGATGGGTCTGGATTTTCTATTATTATTGTTATTGTTAATCTCTTTTATAACTATTTTATTTTATACCACATTTTATTTTATTTACAAATTTCTCCCTGGGAAGGGTAATTACTCCCATTACTCCCTTGCTACACACAGATTCCTAATGAGTCTTATCATAGTGTTGATTAATTTAAATTGCTTAGTTCATAGACTACTTAGTTTTCCACTTACCAACGAAAGATATGAAATAGTAAAAAATAACATTAGGAATGTAGCTGAGTGTAATGGATATTCTCTGACAATTCGAACTTCGAACAACAAATATGAGTACCTATAGTTACATTTTTTCTCATTAGTTTCATTAGTTATAGTCCTGGATAAGTTTACAGGAAAAATTCGGAATAATTACAAATAAAAATTGGAAAATTTGGATGTACCTACTGCAAAAATCATAATTGTAATACAAGGAAATAAAAAAAAATATTAAAGAAACAACATATTTAGTTAGTTATTTTTTATCTTGTTTGTTTTTACTCAAGGAGATAAAGATAATTAGATGAAATGTTTTAATGAAGAAAAAATATTAAAAATCTGCATCCTTTGATTCTAAATATTTTCGACCATCGAAATCGACATGAAAATTGAAACTTCCACGAAAAAAACAGGGTTAAAACGTAATATATGTAAAATAAGATGTAAAGTTAAACTGAATCATATTCCCACTTAACTACAAGACGCATCTAAATCACAATAAGGTAAAATGTAAAAACCACAAAGTGAAAGTCTATGTAAAACAAAAG